TAGATGTTATGAAGTCAAAATTTATCATCTGAACAAAGATGTGCAGTAAGTATAAACTACCAGGGGGATTTAAAAAACTAAGTACCAGAAATTTTTTAAAAATAGTATTGAATAGTTTACTAATGATTTTTATATTGAATACATGTTCAAATTATTATATTTTGGCTAAATAAAACATTAAAATTATATTTTATCTGTTTCTATTTTTCAAAATGTGACTACTATAACATTTGAAATTACACATGTGGCTGTATTAGATATTGCTGACAAAGTATTAAAAAGAATAATACTATCTATTGTTTATGGATACATTTTCTTAAATAGTAAAAATGAGAACATATGGAGAAGATGGATACACTCCAACTTCAGGGTGGTGTTCATCTCTTAGGAGAGAAGCCAATGGATAGTATCTGGGGAATGACTAAAAGGTGCATTCGATTTGTAAGATAGCAAGATATAAGATTAACATTCAGAAATCAGTTGCATTTCTTTACATTAACAATGAAATATCAGAAAAAGAAAATAAACAACCCCTTTTAAAATCACATCCAAAAACAAAAACAAAAAACTTAGGAATAAATATCTGACCAAGGAAATGAAAGACTTATATGCAGAGAACTACAAAAGATTGACTAAGGAAATTAAAGATGACTTAAAGAAATGGGAGGATATCCCATGTTCTTGGATTGGAAGAATCAATATTGTTAAAATGGCCATGCTACCCAAAGCAATCTACAGATTTAATGTGATCCCTGTCAAATTACCCAGGATATTTTTCACAGAACTAGAACAAATAATGCTAAAATTTACATCGGATCACAAAAGACCCAGAATTGCCAAAGCAATACTGAAGGAAAGAATGAAGTTGGAGGAATAACCCTCCCAGGCTTCAGACAATACTACAGAGTACAGTAATCAAAACTGCATGGTAGTGATACAAAAACACACATATGGATCAATGGAACAGAATAGAGAGCCCAGAAATAAACCTACAGACTTTAAGTCAGTTAATCTTTGACAAAGGAGGCAAGAACATACAATGGAGAAAAGACCATCTCTTTAGCAAGTGGTGTTGGGAAAACTGGACAGCAGCATGTAAATCAATGAACTTAGAATACTCCCTCGCACCATACACAAAAATAAACTCAAAAAGGATTAAAGACTTAAACAGAAGACAAGACACTATAAATCTCTCAGAAGAAAACATAGGCAAAACATTCTCTGACCTAAATCTTAGCAGTGTTCTCCTAGGGCAGGCTACCCAGGCAATAGAAATAAAAGCAGAAATAAAAAAACTATTTTGTAGTTGGCTTTATTCCTTTGATAACTATGTAAGTTTAAAAAGTTAAAGATCTAATCTGTTCTTAGAAACAATAATTAGTACATAT